AAAGAACACTCAGACAAATCGTATGACAGTAAATTACTATAATTATCTTTTTTAAGTTTTTTTCTCTTGAAATATTTTCCCTCACTTTTTCAAAAATCTGTCAAGAATTTTTTTATTTGAAAAAACTCATTTATTACTAAATAAGAAAAAAACGAGAAATAATATAATTTTCTTAAAATAAAATTTAATGTAAATATATTTTATGCTTGAATAAAATCAAGCATCAAAAGATCTAAATAACATATTGAATAGGATATTGTCAATGATTGATCAAAATCATTTCTTATTGATTTACAAAAGACTTGTCATTAGACATTAAATTTATATCGATCACTTTTTTATATTTATAATTAACAAACAAAAAAATGTTAAGATCTTATTTAAAACTGATTAATATTTCTAACTACGTTCTTAATTTCTTTTTCTCTTGATCTTCATGTACTATATATATATATGCGTAATTTCAGTATCGGATATCCCAGAATCTAATTGATCTATTCTCTGTTCTATATCTAAAACAGAATATTGACGCAAATTAATAAAAGGTCAATGAAAAATGCATAAAAAACATGCTAAAAAACCTATATCAATGACAAGAAAATAAGCAAAATTATATTAATATCTATTCTTTTGCAGAATGTCTCAAGAAAAATGTTTGAAAGGTCAATTCTGTCATCAGACACTAATTGATTTTTATGCTATAAAAATCATTCTTTTATTCACATACTAAATCATAATTATAATTCACACAAAACTTGAAAACCAATCTTCTTTAGATTTTAATAAGTGTTATATATCTATTGTTAGTAATAATGACATAATGGTAATTTAATCTTGAAATATAAGAATAAAATTGCATATCGTTTGATTTCCTGACAAATTTCAATGCGTCATATTTTCATTATACTTCAACAAAGAAAATTGAATATACAACCGGAATAGATTTTTCTATTACCTCAAGTTAAATAACCATATTGTATCGAATGATTTTAATTTTAAGAATAAAATATATGCATTGTCTCATATATATATAATACCTTCGTTTGTGTGACAGTTTAATTATCCAATATGAACATTTAAAATATTCAATTTTTAATAGTAATTATTTGTAATATAAAAGTAATTAATATTACAAATATAAATGAAATTTCACACTTAAAAGAAGAAAAATTATACAATGACGTAAATTGAGTTTCCTTCTTTTTGCTCTATAAAGTAAACCGTTGAATAAAAAAGATTTTTTTTATATAAATAAAGGTCAGGTCAGATGGTGTATCTATGTCAGACTTAGTAAAGATTGTTTATTATTTTGTCTATGGAAAGTCCGAAAAGATTCAACTCGAAGTTATTTTTATATATATCATTGTTTCGAACAAAAATCTATTCAGTTTATATTTTCTTTTTTTCTATTCTTTATGTCTCGTTCTCATTTCTATATATTCATAAACATCTAGAAGCTTTTCATAATCTGATAAAGATGCTGTATATGAATAGAAAATAAATTAACCAAATCAATTCTTAACATATTTAGTTCTAGATATTTATATCACTTAAGTGTCAATAACAAGATTCATATTATCATTTCGAAGAAAAAATTACTAATGCATATCATATAAATAGATGAAGATATATAAAATTCTCATCGATTCAATTCATCTATATAATATTACGTTGTTGATTTAATATTTCATTAGTTTTCTATGATCAAACATTAAAACCTATTAGAAAATTTTTGTCAACATATCAAAGTATTTTATGTTCCTAACTTAATTTTTCAATTAACGAGATATTATTACGGTAAGATCAGGGAATTATGAAACAACCTACTTCCTATGGCTTGAATAATATTATGTTGTATCAAATCGATAGAGAATAAAAATGATTAATGTATTCAAGTTGACTAAAATATGAAAACAAAATTACTTACCGATCACAACTGAATAAGATTCTTTTTGTCAAGTGCAAGAATAAAACATAAAATCGATCGGATGTACCTGAAAGTATTAAAAATTCTTTTGTATTTAACCTAAATAATACTATGTTGTATCCGATCAGTAGCGATGGAATTAGTTGTTGTATTCTAAGAGATTAAAACCAGAAAAATACTAGTTAATTACATATGCACAAGGTTTTCTTATCTCTTGCTCGAACAATATATAAGCAATTCTCTCATAACCTTTACGACATATCAGATAATGTTATACTTTGCTTCAATGGTCATTAGAAAAATCTGACTATTTTGAAAAATAAATGAAAAATATATTTATTTTAATGTAAAAAAGTATCATTTTCCTTTTCTGATGGCAAAAAAGCTGAACTCACGTGTACCTATCTCACTTCGAATGTAAAATGTTCTTTTATTATAAATGTTTTTCAAGCTGCTCTCATGTGCTTGAACGCGCACAAGAATATATTGATAAGTACTTACTTGCATATCATATTGGAAAGCGTCTTTAAGTGAATTTATTATTACTAGCTGCTTATAATGGCTTAAAATTCGAATACATAAACATCTAGAAATACTTTTTAATTGTAGAGCTATGTTCTGATATCTGTAAAAACTTTATATACATGATTTAAAATATTTATAAGTTAGCATGTGCACTTCAATTTTTACATCAGTTATCATTCAACCATTTAGTTTTAAATAAAGCTAAACGTTCAGTACAAAAACTCTAATACTTAATCCATGAACTTTCAATTTTCAAGTTGAAACAATAAATTGATCTCTAACTAATTTGATTGCTCCACTGTTATTAGCCGTTCTGATGTCATACAAGCTCATCAGATTTATTGACAATATATAGCATCATTCATATTCAGCTTTGAAATACAGGTGAAAGTTTAATTGCTTCGGGTGTGGGTGTGACTAAAACTCTATTTTTTATCAATATCGGCACCCACTCATAAACTGAAGATATAGCATTGCTACTAGCTATTATATATAATGTTTACTCCACTACACATACTATTGCTCAGTAGTATTCATATAAATGTGCAAGGATGTTATTTTTTGTATCAACACATCTCACATCAACTATAACTTAGACATAGGAGTAAAAGGAAAGGAAAATGAATAGATAAATATATCAGTGTCTTTAGATAAAAATGAAAAAAACAAGATGTTTCATTGACAAAGGAATTCAAAAATAGTTCAGAAAAGATTACACATGTATTTTAACGATAATTATTACGTTATAATATTGAGTAAATTTCAAGATGAAATATTAATTTCACATATTTATTTTAATTTATCCCTTCCAAAGCATAAAAAATTTAAAAGATAATCTGATAAACTATTAAATATGATTCAATATTAATATAAAATGAAACAGTAAAACAAATGCATTACATTAATACATAATATTAGTCATATATTTTAAAATTAACTAATATTATTAATACAACACATTTATTCAAATTTTTTACTTACAATTGGTATTAATCATAATTTTAGTCCTATCTAAGAGTTCGAACATATACAAGAAAATATCAATTTGTATATGTCCTTGACTTCTACATGATACTTATGTATATTATATATATATATGTATGTATGTATGTATGACATAGTCGTGATATATTAGTTACTTAACATGAAACTAATCTAAACTATTAGAGAATACAGATTGGCTATATAGTAATACAAAACATGAAGATACACTTTAGTAACTAATTTGTCTAACGGAAATGAGATAACATTTCATACTATCGATGAAGTCATTTTTATTTTTCTATATCTACGTAGGCGTACTTTAGTTTTACAGCTGTCGATTAGTAATGGAAATTGGTTGTTAAAATATTATTACTGTAAGATTGGCATATATTTTTAACGCTCAAGATTAAATTTAGGAAGAGAAGCAAATAACAAAAACAAATATAAATGACTCATTGAATTAATTATTATTCAGCATAAAAAACATTTGTATTATATGCCTCACGGTAATTGTCTAATGGATTATATTGAGCAACAATATACATATTTTTATCTTGTTTATCAAATACATTTTCAATATCTGATATTTTTGTATCTTTTCAAAATAATTTGTATAAAATGAGCTGTATTAGATACAGAATCTGTTTGAGCAAAATCATAATCTAGAATTTTCTTATACCATAATTGTGTTATTTGATTATCTTGAAAGAATAATTAAAACTAATCTTTAATTATCCTCAAATTTTAACTGAGCTATTATTAATGCTTTTTTCATATAAAATTCATCGTTGATGATTATATTAATGAATATAATATATTATCTTTCTTACAAATCCTTGTTTCATAATCAACAAAAACTCTACTATTTGTCTCATAGATTTTTCTATGCTATATTTTTTATACTTTTCACTATCTCTAAAAATCATATTGTTAACAACAATGATCAATATTTTTACTAACAAATCAAAAAATATTTTGACTTAAAATTCTTTTCTTTATTTATTCAATTCAAAAAGATTGCACTTAATGTTCATATTTTGTATCGAAAATATAGTGTAGATAATAATAATTACCATACCTCTAATAATATCTATCTACATGTATATGTGAAGCATATATGTATTATTTATTTTATGGCAAGATAATTATAAAAGACTAATTAGTAGTTTAGATTTAATTAATAAATCTTGTGAACATATACTGTAAAATAAAATGTTGTCTTAATATTTTCGCAATTTTTCTTCAATTATCTACTGCATTAAAATACTTCGCTTATATCAAAATATGATGATTGAAATTCTTTACAAAATTAAATATAGTTTGATTCAGAACTAATTTTATATATATGTTAGAAAAAAATAGATAATCAATAAAAGACGCTTGCATATCTATATATGTATTATTACTGAGAAAATCATTTTAAAATTATCTATCAGTTTTTATGAATAATATTATATTATTATTATATAAGAGCACATGTAACAACTGATTTTTGACTATTGATTGAAGTAATTATTTGACATTAGTTTCTTTCAGATTATATTCAATAAGACAAAATTATTAATACAACAGTGAGCTTTATTGAAAATATTTCTGTTAGATTTTGTTTGAATTAATAGTTTTACTAAGTTAATTTCTATTTATTTGAACATTAAATATTCGAATAAATTCAATTTATAAAATCTTTCTACTTTTGGGTATATAACATATTTTTATTAATAAAAATAGATATGATAGTGATAATAATAAATATAATTGTAGGTTTATATTTAAATCTTTGAATTATTATAGTAGATTTTAAATTTCATTTAGATAATTATCTAAACACAAATTTGTCTTAAATTAATATATATTTAAGATAATTTTATAAGAATTTTCTTTTATATAAAAAACATTAACTCATATGCATTAATATTTATTATTATTATTAATGGTTATATAAGATAAGAATTACAGTTGACGTATGAATAAACTATCCTTTTGTAAAATTCTAAAATAATCAATCACTTGTATTCTTTTGTAAAAACGGATAGTAAAATGTGCAGCGCAGATGGTCATTAAAAATATTCGTTTATATTTTGTTTTTTTTGTTCTGTTCTGTTCGCTTTCATTAGTTATACTTCATTAGTTTTATATTCTCTTTCGTATCATTTTTTATCACTATTTGCGCACTGCAATTATATTACATGAATAATACGCATGATTTTGCGAAGGTAAATACATAACATAATGCAAAATAAAAATAAAAATATCCATTTGTACACTGATAAAATACTGAAAAAGTTAGATAATTCTACACTAACAATGAACTTTTGATTTTTATTCAAGTTGATTTCAATCGTAACATCACTGCATGATTTTTTCTGAAAATATACTGATTTGAGTAGGAAATTATTATTATTAAGCTAAAGTATTAGTATTAATCATTTCGTTTGTTTGCTTGTATAGTATGCATGATTGATTCTCAATCTTCCCTTCATATTAAAGATATACCCAATCAGTTATAATTCATTGAAAATTTGTGATTCCAGTCAACTATAATCCTGCTTTGATTGCATGCTTAAGTCGAAAATTATGTTAAAAATACGATCGGTTTCAACAATTTTACAAAAGCAATATGTCGCCCAGATATTTTTGAAATTTTCACATTTAACAAATAGCTCATCTGACATAGTACTAAACCAAAACAAAAGTTAGATTAAATCAATTTATGTCTTAACTGAAACATTTTTTAAATCTGAACATTATAAGTCGTTAAAGTATACTATGAGACAACTGTTTCCTTTGTAATTATATTAAAATAATTACAAAATGTTCGTCTTTATCTATCAGAAAATAATCATATTGAGGATTTTTACAATCGTAACATACGATAGTCGCTCAAAAGATAGTAAACAAACATCGTTCAATTCCAGGCACCGCCCCAAATACAATCATCCTCCAAATGCAATCATCGTCGTCTATTTCGTTAATTTAAGAAAACAAATCGATTACTCATATTTCGATTACCTACCTATACTGAATATAAGTAATATGCGTTACATACACAAGAGAAAAATAAAAAATATGCGCTATTACTTCTATTTTGTTGCTTGCTTGCTTGTTTTTTTCATGATATAGAAGAAAATAATGACGAAATAAAAGGATATTTTATGGATGAATAAATCGTATATACAGAAAATATTAATGTGTATACTCTTCACATATTCGTTTAGATATTTATTTTCATTTTTATTCACATTACGTATATTTGATTACTCCTCTTCGATTTCTATCGTGTTTGAATATCTTTTCAAGGTAAATATTTCTATACCATTTGTATTTAGTTTATATCCTAACCATGATTACGTATTCTATGAGCTCTTCTACCCTTTAAGGCTGCATCCTCAATAACAGTTGTCTCTCGGTTCGATCTAGTATTGAGCCATATTAATTATTAAGTATGATTCTATACTCTATATAACTGAATGCTTATTGAAACCCGTCGCCAGTTTTTAATAGAATTGAGCCTGATGGATTATTAAGTATGATTCTATAGCCTGTATAACTGGGTTTTCAATAAAATTGGCCTCTCGATTGTGACTAGTATTGAGCGCAATTCGGTGTTAAGAGAGATTATTTACCCTCTGCGAGTAGGCTATCAACGAAACTAGTTTCTGTGTTATAACTATTATCTAGGATGGTAACAGTTTAAATCCTATTTTGTACTCTATGTGACTGGATTCTCAAGGAAAATGGAGCCCACGCTTTGACGAATATTCTCTCTGGAATAGCTATTTAGTCAGATTTTGTTGAAGGTCTGGTCATCTTGAGGATGAGTCTCGGTGTGGGCACGGCTGCTGTAGTCACCTAGCGTCCACACCCAGCCAACCCTAAGATTTTACTTATAAGAAGAAACTGCACTCTAAATAAAATCCGTTTCTAAGAAAACCCAAATGAACTCGGAAACCTTCTCGGAAACCCAAAAAGGTTTGCGAAAAGGTTTCCAATCTTTTTATAGGTTTTCAATAATACCTTTTAGGTTTCCGAATGTTCGGAAACCGATCAGTTTTCTAGAATACTAAATTCGATGCTCTAAAAGTATTCTGGAATACCTTTTTTTCGTATCGGAAACCCTATTACCGTCTTCGGAAACCACTTAGGTATTCTAGGAAACCCATGTTGCAAAATAAGTTGATTTGGAACCCGGTGGAGTATCCGAAAATACCTTTTTTGGTTTTCGAAATATTCTATCGGAAACTCTTTCGGTTTCCGAACTTTATGTATCTGAGAAGGGTATTGTAGAAAACCTATATTGGTTTCCAAACTTCATGTATCTCAGAAGGGTTTTGTAGAAAACCCACATTGGTTTTCGAAGTTAAGGAAATGTTTGCAATGGTTTCCACAATAAGTTAACCTAGCGAACACTATTTCGGAAAAAAATACTTGATACTAGAATGTTCCTTTCTACTGTTTATTTTTCTGAACTTTGAAAGATTTTCAGACAACATACAGCGTTGATAAGTTTTGCATAAAATATATAATTATCAGTAAATCATCTTGCATATCAATATATTCAAGGAATCTAAAACTGCTTCATGTTGTCGAAATATTCTAGACTTATCGTTATATTTTTAAATGAAAAACAACATCAGTCAAATTGTATTCGAAAATTTTGTAAAGAATAGAACATTGAACTTCAAGATAAACCTTCATCATCACCAATCCATTGTCTTGAAGAAATAGAAAATGTTGATCCACCATTAAATAAAGAAACTGAACAAAATGACGAGAATTTAATTATTGACAAGAAACAAGATAGTCCTACAGAAATAATAAATATGGCTCAAATAATTCAAACAGAACCAATGTCAATTGATACGCAAATCAATCATAAAAGAATGGCAGATCAGATAGTTGATGAACAAATATCAGATAATGAAAATGCTCCACCAACAAAAAAACCAACTCGATCAACTCGATCAACTAGTCGCAAATCATAGTTGAAATGAAAAAAGCAAAAAGCAGAATGAATAAAACTTATTCAATGCTGCTCTCTATTTCTTACTAAAATGAAGGAATTTCTTTTTCACTTCTTACACTAAAAAAGATTTTCATTTCCTTCTTTTCTATGTCCTTTTTGTTTTTTTTTATTGATAGACAAGCTTTATTTTAATTGTAGCCTTCCAATAGGAGTCGATCATAAAAACATAACTATTCTTTACTGATACACGTTTTTCATTTAAAAAACTTGTTTCTCCTCATCGTTTCTTTTAATAAAAATTTCTGGTTCTCATTTAACAAACCCTGTCAGATATTATCAATTAATGATTGTAGCTAAACTATAATTTGACCTCATCTTAACAAGACATTGACCATAAGTAATATATTTTAAAAATGAAAAAAACTCATAATCTACTTTTTCTCTTTAGATTTCTTTTCATTCCAAAATGTTCATATATTTGGTAAATTATGTTTCTTTCAAATTAAAGATATTAATATTCTACCTTTTCTATTTAGGCTTATATTTTTATTCAAAGATATTCATGTTTAGTAAGTTATATATCTTAGAAGTTAAAGATAATAAATCTTCTCCTTTTCTATTAAGAATTGGATTTTCATTCAAAGATATTCGTATGTGTGGTAAGTTATGTAAATAAGAAAATTAAAAATAATCATTCTTCTGCTTTTTATTTAGGATTCAATTTTCGTTCATTGATATTTATACACTTGGTAAGTTATATAAATAAGAAATTAAATATAATAAATCTTATGCTTTTTTATTTAGAATTAGATTTTCATTCCAGCATATTCATATGTTTAGTAAGTCATATTTTTTTAAAATTAAAAATAAAAAAACCTTCTTTTTTATTTAGGGTTAGATTTTCTTCTGAAGATATTTACGCACTTGGTAAGTTACATAAATAAGAAATTAAATATAGCTATTATTCTTCTTTTTTTATTTAGGATTTCACTTTTGCTCAAAGATATTCATCCACTTGGTAAGTTATACATTTTAAATTAATAATTATGATTTTATTTTCATTTATTATAGTGCTTCGTGTGGAATTTCGCAAATCTTTGGTCGACAGAACCAGCTAAAGGTAGTATATTATATGTAGGTCACGGTGTGAGTGTGATGCTACAGTATGCAAGGTGCATCGCAGAAACTAGATATTTTCAGCTTAGAAACCTTTGCTGAGTTTCTAAGCTGGATATCTAGTATTTTCTAGGTATTGGTTTTTTACGGGTTTTCGGTAGTTCGGAAACCAGTTTTGAGTTTCCGAACTGAGGGTTTTGTATGGTATAGCTACGGGTTTTTAATGGGTTTCCGATAGTTCGGAAACCGGTGTTCGGAAACTCTTAACGAGTTTCCGATAGTAGCAAACTCGGAAACTCTTATTCAGTATCCGAGAATACTGATTTTATTTAGAGTGTATATATATATATTAATTTAAGACAAATTTGTGTTTAGATAATTATTTAAATGAAATTTAAAATCTATTCTAATAGTTCAAAGATTTAAAAAATATTTCTACAATTATATTTATTTATCAGTGTCATATCTATTTTTATTAATAAAAATATATTGTATCTTTAAAAGAAAAAGATTTCTATAAATTGAATTTATTTGAATATTTAATAATAAAATAAATATAAATTAATTCTCTTTTAAATTCAAACTGAAATCAATAGCAAAGTTAACAATTTTATTGTAATCGAAACACTCAAATGTATATGAGATTTTATATGATTAGTAAAACTATTAATTCAAACAAAATCTAAGAGAAATATTTTCAATACAGCTTTTTGCTGTACCTATAATTTTATCTTATTCAATATAATCTAGAAGAAATTATTGTCAAATAATTACTTCAATCAATAGTCAAAAATCAATTGTTACATGTGCTCTTATATAATAGTAATATTGTTAATAAAAACTAATAGGAAATTCTAAAATGATTTTCTCAGTGATATTACATATATAGATATGCAAGTGTCTTTACTAATTATCGATTTTTTTCTAATATATATGAAACTAGCTCTGAATTCAACTATAATTTAATTTTATAAAGAATTTCAATCATCATATATTGATATAAGTGAAGTATTTTAATGCAGTAGATAAATGAAGAAAAATTGCAAAAATATTAAGAGAACATTTTATTTTACACTATACATTCATTGATTAAATCTCATATTCTAAATAATACCAAAAACTAAATCTAAACTAATGATTAACTTTTTATTATTATCTTGCCATAAAATAAATAATACATATACTTCACATAAACATGTAGATATATGTTATCAGAGGTATGGTAATTATTATTATCTACACTATATTTTCAATACAAAATATGAACATCAAGTGCAAGTTTTTTGAATTGAATAAATAAAGAAAAGAATTTTAAGTCAAAATATTTTTTGATTTGTTAGTAAAAATATTGATCATTGTTGTTAACAATATGATTTTTAGAGATAGTGAAAAGTATGAAAAATATATCGTAGTAAAATCTAGGAGACAAATAACAGAGTTTTTGTTGATTATGAAACAATGATTTGAATGAAAGATAATATTATATTCATTATTAATATAATCATCAATAATGAATTTTATATAGAGAAAACATTAATAATAGCTCAGTTAAAATTTCATATAAATTTGAGAATAATTAAAAGATTAGTTTTAATTATTCTTTCAAGATAATCAAATAACATAATCATGGTATAAGAAAATTCTATAGATTATAATTTTAATCAATCAGATTCTATATTTAATACAGTTCATTTTACACAAATGGTTTTCGAAAGACACAAAAATATTAGATATTGAAATTGTATTTACTAAGCAAGATAAAAAATATGTATATTGTTGATCAATATAGTCCATCAGACAATGATCGTGAGGCATATAATACAAATGTTTTTCATGTTAAATATTGACTGTTTCAATGAATTGTTTGTATTTGTTTTTTATTTTGACATTAATTATGTTTTTTATTATCAGCTTTCCCTCCTAAGTTTAATCTTGTGCGTTAAAATTATGTGCCAATCTTACAGTAATAATATCTTCGCAATCAATTTCCATTAGTAATGCACAGCTGAAAACTAAAATATACCTACGTAGATATGGAAAAATATAGATATGACTTCATCGATAGTATAAAATGTTATATCATTTCCATTAGACAAATCTTGAGGGTGTAGGTGGATGTGCATGAGAGGTAAATATAATATCCACACCCACACCCTATTATTATGTGTATGGATGAACAACTTAAACAAGCTACTGACGGTATATTCAAGTTTTTTTGAAAACCTCAGAATATATTCGTATCTTCTATATATATATATACAGGAACATATTTGATACGACCAGCTGGAATAAATGAGCTAAATTGAAATATTGCATATATTCTTCGTTTTGTTTGTCACGATGAAATTGCTCGAATATCCATCTGTTATAACAAAGAACGTCGAGTATATTGATTTCTATCTGGTAAGTACTTTTCATAACAAGAATTTCTCTCAAAATTAATCATTACCATTTGTATATCCAAAAATATTAAATTACTAAAAATTCTATTTTTCATAATGCATCTAATAATGCAACAATAGTATTCCTCATTTATTATAACAATTACAATAACGTATCAAACAAAATATAAACGCAGTTGTTTTAAATTATACTAATCTTTAATTAAATTCTTTTCTTTTTTGTTCTGTAATATAGGATATGGAATCGGATCAGAAGGGAGATGAGAGTTCACAGGTGTTAATTTATTCATTCAACATAAACAACAAAATACTTTTTACTTAGAATTTGTCTTTATCAATCAATTCATGTACTAAATGGAGAATGTATTCAATTACCTGATGAAATTATCGTATTTTAGATCATCAAAATATTATTCTTCATGAGTTAGCCATTCAAGGTAGAAAATATGATTTTGTTGAAATTTTACTAAACAATAATGCTGATATTAATATTACTGATGGACAAGGTTTATCACCATCACATCATGCATGTCGACAAGTAAATGATAAAATGTTAAAAAAATTGATGCAACGAAATGCTGATGTACATTATTTTAATCGTAGTTATTATTTATATTTTTCTATATGAGTTTATTTTACTGTTCTTATATGTGTATAATCAAATAATCGATGGTACTTATCAATTCAATACATTGATGATTTAGAAAAAAAGGTCTGATCTATTTTTGAAAATTGCTCATATATATGTGGATTATAGTAATTGATTTTGGGAAGAATTTTAAAGTTCATATAGCTACATGAATCAAACTTACAACATTTATTCTATGTTGGATAATTCGCATTGCATTTCAAATTACATTCAACAAAATCATAGAATATATCAAATCTAGCCAAATTGTATTCCTAAACAGCACAACTTACTAGAAATTTGTCAACATAAATAATGATAATCATTCTTGATTCCTAGACTAATAAAGAAAATTGTATGTTCTATAGAAATTTGTAGTGATGTTGATCACAATATGCAACACAGTAATAATTTTCTTGAAAAACTCCAGTATCAATTTTATATTCTAGGAACAAATACAAAAAAAGATGCAATCAAAATCCACCAAATAAATATTTATATTTTTTTATTATGCAATCAGATACAATTCATAAAGATAGTGCTTATACTTATTCTTAATTAATAGTAGTCAAACAACCATCTCACTTCAAAATTTGAATTATTATCTTAGGAATATTTTTCGTTTCTTCATACGATTGACAAAAGCTATTATGATTCTTTTCTATATCACACTATTTCTTTTCTTCCATACAAACTTATACTGAAAAACTTAATATTATTTTTGTCGATTTAACAGCGATGATGGCTGAATAGAGCACTGCTTTCATAATTTTTAGTGAAACATAAGAACGAATTCTAATTTTTAATTGTTATCAAATTTTAGTGAAGAATATTTCGTTTCAAGTTCAGGTCAAACTACTAGGTATATTTGAA